TTAGGGTTAGGGTTAGGGTTAGGGTTAGGGTTGGAGTTTTGTTGTAGCCATGATGGTCCGTGAAATGTATGAGAGGCAAATGTTTGTTTTTTGGGGTGATTCCTTTTATTGGACCAACTCCAGTAAAACTACAGTCAGTCCAGTAAAAGGTATCACAAAAAAACCCTTGCCTTGCAAGTCTTTTCAGCCATTTTGGTCAAAATGTTGGCTTTATACATGTATGTGTTCTTATGAATATAAGTTTTTAAAACAGTGTTTTCAACAAATATCAATGTATATAACCTGTTTTATTTTTAGGTTATAGGAAATGGAACTTCTATTCGTAAGTTAACACTATTTCAATAAGTTACCTACATTATGCGTTTAAATAATCCAAAGATGGCTACACTTGCTTATTTGAATTCCTGGCTTCTTGTTTCAGGTCCCTTAAAGCTATAATTCAAATTTAGTTCAGCTGCAGTTTTTTCCTCATCCAACTTTACCTTTTGGAATAGCTTGAGTAGTATGTTTGTAGTATTTAATGCCCACTTGTTAAATATAGCTGTGTCAAGTAACCTTTTGCAGCATAAATTCATGGTTTTAGAAGGGAAACAATTCTAAAGATTATCTGAAGAGAGGAGAAGCAAAATTCCAAAAGAAAAAACCAAAATGCCTTATCCAACTAATCTAAAAATACATATAGTATGCTTTTGAGACTAATCATTTGAAAGGTTTTTTGTTGGGACCAGTGAAGTGTAGCTGAATGTCATTTCTGTAAAGCTTTATATTATTGGTAAGTATGAAGTTAATATTAGCTATTCTTTCTTACAGTAGCATTCAATAAGGGTATTGTAATATAGGGCTGTGCATAAAACAGATCTTGCTTCTTACTTGTAGTAATTTATGATATTAAAAATGGGTATATATTCTATGAAAATCTTTTGTTTGTTCATGTTTGAAAGTCGCTTTAAAATGTTTTATGGTTATGTCACAGCATCAGTTCCCAATTTTTCACAAGACGGTTTTTAGACTGTAACATTAATTGTTGTACTTTACACTTATTATACAATGGATTCAGTTTTTGAAGAGGAAGGATACTGTTTTGTTTTAGTTTTACTGCATGTCATTCGGATTGATTCATGGCAGCGTCTGGCAGGAAAAAATAGTTATATTGAAACTGACAGGTGCCACAAGGTTCATTTAGGACAACCACAGTCTTGTCCTAGTTAGTTTCATAATGTTTGCCTTATGCGTGTTCAGCCACTGCATTTCCTGCTTTAAAGCCGTGTGTTGCACCAATATTGCTATCTGTGCTGCCTCAACTACAAATTGGATGAACAGCCAGTGACACTTTTTCAATATTATTACATTAAACCAAGTGGATTTTGATTGATAACCTAATATTCAACTAATGCAAAACATCAATCATGGCAAGTATATTAATTATTTAATATTGCAGTCTAATTCAAAAATCGATGTGCTGCATGAGGGGAAGGGAAACTCACTGTTCCCAGAAGACTTAAGACAGGGAATGATTAAAAAAAAAAAAAAATCCTGCTGTACTCTTGTGTGTTAGTTGGATACAAATCTTTATTCATTTGCCAATAATCTCTTTGCATTTTCCACTTCAGGACCATTTTATCAGTTTTGAGACCTATAATTGAATTAAGTCTGCTTTCAGCACAGGGCAAAAGGAGTTGCACAAATATTGATGAAGTCATGACAGGGACAGTACAGGAGACAGATCACTAAAGAGGACAGGTTTTATATCGTTAGCTGGAAGCTGCCTGCATCAGTTTCTTGGATCCTGTTTTCCAATAAATTAAGTTCCTTAAGACCTTTGGCACCATAGGATAAATGTACAGGACTTCATTTCTATCTAAATAATGTATGGCCTTCTATAGTAAGTTCTGATTATAAAAAGAAATACTAGTTTTAAGAGGAATCAAACTTTTTTTACTTCATTTACTATGAAGTCATAGAAAAGAAATATACTTGCTTCATGTAGAAAAGCATTAATGATGTTATCAGTGCCAAATTATTTATTAAAAGAAATCTTGCATTAGATTTTTATATTGATATTTATGATTATTGCATTACACCATTGTAATGTGAAGTGCTAGTAAGTATATGATGTAAATATAATGTTTAAAATAAAATGAAGCACATGAAGTAAGTGGAGTATCCAAAAGTAGCATATGTTCTCTTTAAATTGTGTATGCGACTTTAAATGGCCCCTGTAATTAGCAGTGTATTAAGAGAGCTCATGTCTTACCATGTTTATGATATTCATCAGAGGATTTTGAGTTTTTTGCCATTTGTGTTTGCACAGAATTGAGCAATTACTGTAAAAAAAATATATATATATACTGAACATGAGTGCATACAACATTGTACAATCCAGGAATTCATTATTTGGAAAGTTATTTTTTTTCCATATTGGCATCATTGCAGTGTATTATCAACAGAAAGGGACAGTTCTGTTGAGAAGCAGATTTAATTTGAAGTTAATGAAAGCAGAAACTGGCTGCTTTCATTTAGTGTTTGTTTTTTTGAAGTGGCAAAGAGAAGACATCTCATCCTGTTGACTTCACTTCACTAAGCTGGGTAAGTTGTTTATCCTTGTCCAGCTTGGCAAACCAGCACTATATCTATGTACACCAGGATGCATTAAGGATTACATTTTGAGTCTGAATTTTCCCTGCTTAAGTGTCTTCTTTTTCTCATTCATAATTTTTGGATCTTTTCTTGCAACCCTGGATCCTCAGGTGGTAACAGCTTGTATTTTTGGCTTAAATTTTTGGTATGAGCTTTAGAGTTTTGCAACTCATGTCAGAAGAAATATGTAAAGATCCAACATCCTTTCCATGATCTAGTTGGTTAATAATGCAATTCATTCATTGTTTCCTTTTTACTAGCGGTCACATTTGTTACTTAAGTTATAGTAGAGGGAGCTCAGGCAGAACTACACATGGATTTGATATCATAGCACTATATTTTATGTATTTAAATTTCTTTCTCCAATAGTTACCAGTATTCAAATTTAAAATACTATTTGACATAGTAGGGCCTTGCTTTCTGGTTACGGTAATTTTAAGGCAAGAGTTTAAATAAATAGAAAGTTTTGCTTCTATATGACTAAAATCTTTTTTTCTTGGATTTTTAATAACCAAGGTGTAAACATTAAAAACATAAGAAAGATAGTGAAGAAACTGAGATTTTTTTCCTTGATATTTCTGAGTTGAACACAAATCATTATAGACAAGGGTTTAGCAACTATTTAGAACTTTTGTTCTTCTTTTACAGGGACTCTGGAAACATCAAAGCTGGATTAGAACATCTGGTAAGTTCTAATTTTCTCTTGAACATTTGCATCATCTTTGATATCTGCATTCCAAATGAACACTTTTGAATCAGCTTTGAATACCTTGAATTGAGAGAGTCAACCATTTCCCAGTGGGTCAGCTTACTGTTATTATGTGAAGGCACTTACATTTTCATTTATCTCACCATTTCAAGGGAATTTTAATTTTTTTTAATTATTTTTTTTATGTAGAGATGAAATAAAATGGACTACAATCCTTGGATTGATGATTGCCTTAATTATAAACAAAAAATTGTTTGGTGTTGGATTTTTGGCATATCCTGATCTGAAAAGAACAAACTTGTGTTTAAAAAAACAATCAAATATTTCATGCATAAATGTGGTATGTTTTAGTAATTTGAAATCTTTGAAAGAAGTGCACAGCTTTTTTTTTCTGTTGTCTTTGCTTTATGAATAATGTATTGATTTAAATTCCATTCAGTGCTACAACATAACATTATAATTGAGATGCAAAATATTTTTTGGTTTAAATAAACATATTCCAACCAGTGGCAGAGAGACATACTTAGCATTAAAAACTAATCAGTTGATCAAAACTGAAAAATACGATATTGTCACAACTCTGAAAGTCATTGAATTTACTATGTTAATATCAGCCTCATCAGAACATTAAGCAATCCATATAAAGAATTCTTTTGGAGTCATGGGTTATGATTTTTGTTAATCTAAATATTCAGTACTAATGTTAGAGATTTCTTTGATACAGAATTTGAATATATACAACATAACAGTTTGTTGTGTACAGCCATGACGCTTAAATTATGATTATTACCATCCAGTGTAAGTCATTTCTAATTGTTGCTCAGAGTTAACTCAATGCTTTTTAAATTTTTTTTTACATTTTAGAATCTTTGAAATCGTTGTAATCATTTTAAAGCTTGTGTGCTACTCTCTTCATGCAGCATCTCCATGGGGTAGAGAATGTATACTGCGCCATAGTTGTCAACTGTGTCTCACCTTTTATTTTTTTTGGCCTGACCAGAGCTCAGTTGCTACTTGGATTCTGACTCTATGCACAGTTTAGATAGTTGGCTCTGTCTAGATGTTACAGAAGTTTAACAATTTATCTCATTTGCTAGTTTCATCGGTTTCTTGCATGCTAGTTGAACCTCTTAAATTTTAAAAATGTTTCATTCCTCCACTGGTGTCAGGTTGTTGTAATCTAATGGGTTCAGAAAATGTTTCTAATGCATTATAAAGATGCTGTAGTCCTGACAGATGACCGTGACTGGTACTTTTTCTAAATTGGGACTAGTATGATAGCTGAAGAGGTAGGCATGATTTATGTTGTCACCTCAAACCATCAAGCAGAGCAAGGAGAGGCTGAATGGTTTTTTAGTAGTCCCTAGAAAAACAGGAATCTGGTTCATGGGCACTGGCACTTTGCTCTAGGATTGTGTGGTAAAATCAATGGAAAGATTCTATGGAAGCTTCCAGCATCAAAAGATCTATGGTATAAGAACACAGTTTATTTTTTAGTAAAAGCTTATATTCATCAAATCATTGATTTTGTTCTCTTTCTATGAAAGAGTTAACAGAAGTTTTCATATTTAAAGTTGGAAACTTCTTCCCCTTCGATATTGGAAAACCTGAATGTATGTATGCTAAAACACAGGGACTAATTTTCTAAGATACATAGAGATTTGCATTATATGTGGAATACATTTCATACTGGAAAGTGTTTTACATGTTTAAGTTACAATCAGACATTTTAATGCAAATCTATTGAACTCCAAAGGGGGGAAAAAAAGGTACTGGTATATTTGCTAGAAGAATTATAGCTATTTTGTTTTAGCAAACTCATTCTGCTAAAAATAATTATTTTTTTTCCAAATATCTGTAAAAATTGCCCCCCATGTTTTAAAAAAATTAGAGTTAAGTAAAAATCTTTTTTTTCTGTGCTTTGGCTTTTTTAAATGAAATAATATTTATGTAAGTTGTTCTTTAAATGCACATTCCTTTCATCCATATTCTTCTCCTTTATCTCCTTCATGTGGTCAGAAGCTACCTGGTACTTGTATTTCTGTTGTGTCTGCCATCTTGGTATCTAAGTTATGTGCCATCTTGGTCAGATGAAGTAGCAGTACATTTATTCCTGAAATATGCAACAAATATACAGTAAACTGTTAGAAAATCTTTCATTATAACAAAACAATTCTCACGAGTGAAAAAGTAGTTGTTTTTATGGATTAGAACTCCACACACATCATTTGGTTGTTTTTGATAAGCAACTTAAATCCATGCCTGTACCCTAAGAATTGCTATCGAGTGGGTATGCCCTCTCAGGTTTAGAGGCAAGGTATAGGTTGATGTGACTACAAAAGACTAACTCAGTGTTTTTAAGTATTTTTTATTAGTATAAAAATGAAGAAGAACTATAAACATACCTTGTTTAATTGGGAGAATGACTGACTTTTTTTTTTTTGTAGGATTGTTTAAAATGCAATTGCAAGTTTCCAAATTACGGTGGATTCCTATTATTGGAATCACTTTGGGAAATGGTGATTTGATTCTATTAACTGCTAATTCCATTAAAAGGAGACCCATTTTTTTTAAGACCACAGATGCTTCTCTCCCATGACCCTCTGGCCCTGCTCATACCTCTCACTGGCCTCCCAGGCCTGCCAGAGGGGGCCCACAGGTGCCAGGGCTATGGGGTCAGGGACCCGGGTCCACAGCCCTCTTTCCCAGTCAGAAGGGGGCGGTTGCTGTGGTGGAGTGGAGCCTAGATCCCCACCTGCAGCTTCCTGTTGTGGGCTTGGGCACAGGGGGTGGGGCCAACTCCCTGGTATGGTGCATGCTCCCAGAGGGGCAGGGGGAGACCTGCACCCCCCAGTTCTGTACATGGAGTGGGGATGGGGGTGGGCACGGGCAATGAGGGCAGCAGTGCAGGGTTGTGCCTCTCAAAGCTACTGTGCACACAGGGGCACATCGCCAGGGAATCCAGCTCCTGCCCCCCAGACAAGCTGTCCACAGCCCTGTCCCACTCCCCTCTGAGGCCCCAGCTCTGAGCAACTCCCTCCTTCCGCCCCTATGGAGGCTCAATTTCCCCCCCTCCCTCCCACAATTAGCTGCTCTCCAGGGTACCCAGGGCCAGGGGCCATGTGCATGTACATGCACATGGCAGTCCCTGCCTAACCACTCTCCTCCTACTCCCCCTGCAACCTGGAACTCTGCTAGCCTGCAGAGGGCTCCTCACAAAACTGCAGAATCCTCAGGCTTCCCCAGCAAAATGTTTCAAAAACCTGAAAATTGTGATTCTTATATGAGCAGTTTTTACACGTGATAGTATAGAAATGGCTTTGGTTTTCCCATGTTGATTCAAATAAGCAGCTGATTGCCGATTCTATTAACCAGCAATTCTTCTATAAAATGGAATCCACTGTATTTTTGATAAACCTTAAATTACAAAAGTGAATAAGTTATGGAAAATTTGAAATAAAAAATATGAAAATGTTTGCAGTTCTGAATGGGTCCTGTTTTCTATGAGTAGTAACATAAAAGATAATTGTGGAACAACTATACCTTTGATTTTTTTCAATAGAGAGATCCTGTTTGTTCTTCTTGCGTTGTATAACATTTCAGAGCAATGACCTGATTGTCCTTGTGGTCAAGCAACAGTCTGGCCATTTTAAATGTTGAAGAGCAACCTGTCATTAATAGCTTGTTTAGCTCATCAGTGGTTTGTAGGAATGTAGTCATTGCCTGCCAGCAATGTAGGCATTTCTGTTGCAGTTGCATGTTAATCAATAACCCCCAACAGGTATAGATAAAGCATGTCTTAAGGTAGTTGTATATAGTTATACAAATAAAACTCTTGTTTACTTTGTTAATAGATGAAAGCCAGGATATATCAGTTCTACTGCTGTGTAGGTGTAGTGGTGGTGGTAGTAGTAGGCAACTATTGATCCTTCTGGATCATGGTGTATGTGTGAGGTCATTAGGACCTATGATGCATATGGTTAGGCAGGAGTATGGAGGAGTGGAGGTTGTCCAGACCTTCCATTCCTACTTTAGACCAGAATCCAAAGACCAGACTGAGTCTGGATGTTTGGTACCTTGATTTCTGTAGTTATATGCGTGTCCAGAATCAAACCTGGGTCTTGCACTTGGCGGACAAGAATTCTACCACTGAACCACAACAGCAGGTACTGCTGTGTTGTAGTCCCAGATTTAATACTGTTTAATAGAAAGTAATATAACTAATTTGTAAAAAGAGCAGTACTGTGTATGGTTTGAGTTTACATCTTTTATCCACTGGTGTTTTGCCCTTAACTCATCCTTTTGCAGTGTGATTCATGAAGCTGGTCACCATGGACACGGTGAACCTATGGCTGCTCTGGGGAAGCAAGTCCTACCCATTTGCTCCTGATCAAAGCTGCTTTAAGTTTTGGGTGCATTTCTTGGTGCATACTGAGGACATCTGTAAACTGGCTACACTACCTACTTTGTGGGCTCTGAACTGAACTGAGTGAGAATGTGTGGACAGGGTATGCTTCTCAGCAGTACTCCTGTGTTTGCCACATACGCACGTCCTAACCTTCATTTCCTTCAGGTTGGGAGTTCAAGGGCTGTTTTAAAAAGCTTTATTTTTACTTGAAATTTCAACTTAAAGCCTGCTGTAGTCCTTATACTAAAGGGAAATTTGAATTTGGAAAGTTTCTGTAGTTACCATTCCTTTTTCATGGAAGTCTAACATGGTGTTGGCATTATCTTGCAACACTACATTGGATTGCTGTGTAGGAGATCCAGTATTTGAGAGCATCATACACAATGAACTTTTACCCATAAATGTGCTAGTTTGGCTGACATCCTGATTTTATAGAAATATGATAAAACTGAGTGAGTTAGGGTTCATCTGATTTGTAAAATATAATAGGCACACTTCAGGGAATTGATTTATTCTTCATTACATGCATTTTTTTGTAGACCTTTCACTTTACATATAGATTTGTTTT